GGGGGGGGGGCGGGCGCCCAGCGCTGCATTGAAGGAGAGCGGCGTCACCACCTCTTCGCTGGCGCGCCACTGTGGGCGGCGGCCCACAGAGCTCGGGCAGGGGGCGCGGGCGGGGGGGAGGCGCGCGGCTGCTGCGCATCATGGTGCCCGCACAACGCGTTTCGCGCATCTGGCCGCGGCGGACTCGCGCAACTTTGCATCTCGCGGCAGCCCTGTTGGTGCAGACTGGCTTCAAGACGGCCTCTCGCGAGCGCTGCATTACAAGTTGAGAGCAGCCGCGCTGCGGGCTCAGGGAGGGCTCGTGACGCATCGGCCGATGCAAAAGCACTGGAACATAAAACAGGAGAACAAAAAGAGAAAACAAAACAGCGCTGCCATCAACCCGCCGCTCGGCGTGTCGGATTCATTCACCCGACCGCCGCCGCCGCCGCCGCCCGCCGCTGCTGCGCCTGCTGCTGCCCCTGCGCCCGCTCCGCGCGCGCGGCGCCCCTCAGCCGCTCCAGCAGGTCGTCCCGCGCCGCGGCCAGCCCCCTGTAGCGCCCCTGCAGCTCCCCCTCGCGCGCCCGCTGCGCCGCGACCAGCGCGCGCGCGGCGGCCGCGCGGGCGGGGGCTGCGGCGAGCTCCCGCGCCTGCAGGCCCCTGAAGCAGGCGAGCTCTGTGGCGGCGTCCTGGAGGGATTGGGCCAGGGATTCGGCCTGGGAGCGCTGCTTCGCGTCCCGCTGCTGCAGGCCCTGGGGGGGCGGTGGCGTGGGGAAGTGAAGGGAAGCAGAGGGTCTGCGGTGGGAACAGGAGGGGGCGTGCGGGGGGCTGGGGAGGGCCTGCTGCAGGCCCTGGGGTGGTGCAGGGAAGAAAGACGAGGGTCCCACCTTCGTACTGAATCACGAGTGGGGCTGAGGCCGTTGGAATCATGATACTGGGGGATTGGGTGGTATGGGCCGCCACAGAGGCAGCCCCCAGCGATGACATGCTCGCGTGATCCACGCCGGCCCATGTGCACAATACACACACACGCGCGC